ACAGAGCTTGTGTTCCATTTAGTAAAATAACAGCAACTTTCATTCGTTATATCTGCAGGTGTATGCAGTTAAACTGCTCATATTTCGAAACAGAAACAAATTTGCTAATATGTTAGTTTCAAAACAAATAAGTTTAATATTACTGTAGTCTAATAATTTCTCATGTTAAATATTTATGTATGTTTTAAAACATATCGCGTTAGAATATTCATATTTTTCATTTTCTTGACAGATGTAACATTCTTATTCCATACATGTTATTCATTAATTCCAGCGTGAAACTGCGTTAGATTATTTTTCAGAGCATTATTACTCTATGTATATGTTATTATTAATCTCAACGAAAAAGAAAAAAATGAATGTAATATTATTTAAAAATTTCGACAAAATAACTTAACATAACATTAAAAATGGGATATTATTTCATTAATACATGCGATAAGTTTCGCCTTAAAAGATTATATAGTCGGATAGTAATTAAATATTTGTAAAAGTATTCAATGTATATTATTTTTTGTGTCAAGATAGTTTTAATCCAGGACAGTCTTTACCAACTTATAAAGCATCTGTAGAAACTGTATTGCACCAGATGGCGCTGTGTGCGCTTGAATTCTTCGGGCTAGTACAAAACCTTGATGATTGCGAAAGATGTAACAACATCGCTAAACATTAACCAAAGTTTATATGTGCCTCTATTTGTTGTAAATGTATTTAATTGTGTCGTCAATAAAATATGTAGAAAATGATAAAAAGTGGAGAATGCGTCTGACAGGTAAGTGAGATTTCTTTATATTTTGAACTGAATTGAGTTTTAGCGACAAAGAATGTAAATGCGTATTTACAAATCTTTTTTTGGTGCCGATAACCCAGCAGAGACCTTTAGATAAAGTAAACTGCGAACCGAATACTGTAAAAACGTATTTAGCGAACTGAATAATTTTAAATTGTTATGATGGAATATTGAAGCTTTAAAAAAAAAAGGATTAGAGCACCTGTCAGACGAGCGGCAAACTGACACTATGAAATTGTTAGAAACTGAAATAAACAAACAGGAAAGATCAGTTGATTTAATTGATGAACTTTTAGCGAAACTTTTAGATAAAGAAGCTTAATTTAAAGTATCTTAACGAGGAAATTCTAAAACTGTGCAAAACAAAAGAAATAGAAAAGGAAATGGAAAAAACAGCAAGAATATAAAGATAATATTATTACTTGGAAAATTCGCGCGAATAGAATCCTTAAAACGAAAGAAAGCGAAGTTGTTCGCGAAACTGAAAGAACGAATGTTGTAGAAACCAGAAGTGAGCAGCAGAATACAGTAAAACTTCCTCGCTTGCAGATACCTCAATACGATGGCAATATATTAAGGTTTAACGAATTTTATTCTCAGTTTGAAGTAGCTATCCATAAAAATGTGAATCTTAGTAATGTGGAGAAGTTTAGTTATTTAAAATCGTACTTAACAGACGAAGCTAAGGTAGCTCTACGTGGTTTAGCATTAAGCTCTGAAAACTATGAAATTGCCTTGAACATATTAAAAGAACGCTTTGGTCGAAACGATATTATTATCGATGCGCATATGGCAAGACTTTTAAACTTAGTCCAGTACGAAAATCATATGACATTGTAGCGTTGCGTAGACTTTACTCAGAATGCGAAACACATATTCGAGGATTAAAAAATAACGGAAATTAATCCTAATAGTTACAGTTGTCTATTGTATCCAGTGCTGTTAAAATTCGATACCCAAAGATTTGTCCTTGGAATTTTCTCGTAAAAACACATTTGGAAGATAAAAACAAAATATCTGATTTATTGGAATTTTTAAAGATTGAAATTCAGTGTTGTGAACGTAATGAGTACTTAAGTAGAGACTTCAATTTAAACACTTCAGATTCGAAATTGGAAACTAAATTTAATCTTTACAAAAACCTAACGGGAGATTTAATAAAACCAAAATTGAATGTAAGGGGAAAAATAAAATAAATTCGAACATTTTACTACTTCTGCATTTATTGTTGATGTGAAAAAATGTATATTTTGTACAAAACCGAAAATAGAGCACGATTCTACCTCTTGTCCCTTATCGGTAGAACAGAGAAACATTCATTCTTAGAAAATATGGTATATGTTACGCTTGCCTTCGAAGGGGTAAGTATAAGCAGTGTCAAAAAAAATCTATTTGTGAATTTGTAAACGTTTTATGCATCACGAATTGATTTGCGATCAACCCAATGTTGATTTCTCCCCCCCCCCTCTGGAGTCTCGTCAGACCGTCGACGCGAATAAATTAATGTTGTGTCTTCCGTAGCATGTGTGAACTGAATCCGATGATTGCGACATACTACTTGAAACTTGTCGGCAGTAAATGTGAATGTATGTAAACATTTATTAGATTATATATACATAATAAGATAGTTTGTTTACATATAGTATCATTTATAATAAGAGGGGAAAGAGAAAGAAGAATTTTTATAAGGAAAAATTTATTCTTGATGTATTTAGCTTTCATCGAATTTTCTATAGAAATAAAACTAAAAAAAATAAATAGAATTTTAAAATAAGATATAGTATCTCGATCTAAGACTATAGAATCGAGATTAATATTTTGTTAGATAATGCGTCACAGAGATGTTTTTTGAGAAAAGAAGTAGCCGTAGAAATGAAACTACCGATAATTAGACAAGAAAGTCTAGCTGTTTACACTTTCGGCTCTAGAGTGCCAATACAAAAAACGTATGACGTAGTTCGGTTTTCACTTTGTAATTTATGTGATTCGGACAAGCAAATAACGATTGAAGCACTTTTGACTGACTGTATTTCTGAATCGCAGTTTAAAGTATCGCATAACAAATTAATGCAAATACTTTCGAGAAAGAACATTCAATTGTCAAACATAAGTAAATTGTCAGGAAACGAATTGTCTCTGCTTATTGGAGCACAGTATTTTTGGGATATTCATACGGAAGAAAAATGGCTATTAAACAAATCTTTGTATTTGATTAATACTCTGTTTGGAAGGGTTGTTCAAGGTCGAATCCCTCCATCAGATTTAAATGCGAATCGGGATATTTCTATTATGAAAATTGAATGTTGCACCGCATTAAATGAAAAACTAACGCAGTTTTGGCAGTTAGATTCAATGGGGATAAATGATACTCACAGTGGAGATTTTAAATTTAAAAGAGGAATTTATTTCTTAATTCGAAAGTAATTTAAAATATGAAATGGAATGTATACAATCTAAATTATTCTGGGACGGTAAACCAGAAAACTTGTCTAACAATTTCGCTGTAGCAAAAACGAAGATTTCGTAACTTAAGTGTAAAAATGAAAGAAAATGATTGGGTTTATAATGAATATAAGAATATAGTTAAGGAGCAATTAAAACTGAATATCGTTGAAGAATGGTCCTTTCGGCTTAGAAGAGAATTCTTATTATATGCCTCATTCAGCTGTAGTAAGATCGGATAGGGACACTACGAAAGTCAGATTGGTTTTTCGATGCATCGTCAAAAGGTAATAGGTGCAAATCTCTTAATGAATGCTTAAATCCTGGGCCACCGTTTGAATCCCAGAATTTTGGATGTAATCTTGCGATTTCTCGAATATGAATATGCATTCAGCTGTGATATTCAGGGAGCATTTTGGACCATAGGAATAGCGGAAGAGGATAGAGACTATTTACGTTTTTTCTGGTTTCCAGATGAAAGTGATTCAAAAACTTACAAAATTTTACGAATGACTCGCGTTCCCTTTTGGAGTGACATCAAGCCCATTTATCCTTGCTGCGACTATTAAATACCACATTAGAAAATATAAACTTGAACAAAGCGAAACTTGTGAAATGCTTGACTCGGCACTTTATGTAGATGATCTTTTTTACGGAGCAAATACAATAGAGAAAACTTTAGAATTTTCACAGAGCGCTGTAAAAATTCTTAAAGATGCGAACATGAATTTCAAGAAAATTTAATACTAATTCGGATGAGTTGAGAAATTTATGGAGTGAACGAGGTTTGTTTGATGTGGACAGAAACTAAAGGAACGTCCTTTGAAGGATTTTAGGCATAATATGGAACACCGAAGAAGATTTTTTAAAGTTAAGATGCAAAACCTCTACTGGACATGATCTGTGATAGGAGGAATTCAAAACGTAGTGTACTTCAGACAGCTTCGAAGTTATTTGATCCTATGGGAAATTGCATCACCTTTTATTGTTCTTCATAAAATTATTAATGCAAGAAATATGGGAACTTGGTTTAGGATGGGATGATGAAGCTATCAACTGACTTGAAGAAAAAATGGGATAATTGGTGCTCTCAGATTTATCTGTTGAAAGATTTGACAATCGAAAGAAAATATTTCTCCATACCATGGAAGTTGGTGAAAGAATTAGAACTACTACACATATTTTCTGACGCTTCTCCTAAAGCTTTCGGAGCAGTTGCGTACTTCCGTTACGTGTCAAGTGATGATTGTATTTATACAAGTTTTATCACTGCGAAATCTAGAATCGCACCGCTTAAAAGGTTGACATTACCGAGGCTTGAACTTATGGGAGCTGTTATTTCTTCTAGACTTTTCCAATATTTGAAAACAAATTTTAAATTTCCTGCGCCTAGGGTATATATGTGGACAGATTCCTTAATCTCTCTTCATTGGATTAAAGGGAAAGCTTCAAAATGGAAACCTTTTGTATCGAACCGTGTATCCGAAATCCAGTCTAGAACTGGTCCTGCTGATTGGAATCACTGTAGTGGGCAGGATAATCCTGCAGATTTCGTATCTCGAGGAGCTACCGTGGAAACGTTTATGTCCAGTTCGATTTGGATGCAAGGTCCAGAATGGCTTCGGTTGAAGAAAAGGGATTGGCCAAAAGGCTCTAATTATGAAATTTGTCTAGAGAGATTTCTCCAGAAGTATATTGCGAAAAAAGAAGTAAACTGGAAGAAGTATCGTCTTTTGTGTGCGAAGTGCAATCGAATTTGACACATTTAATGGATTTGAATAGATATAGTAGTTTAAGAAAATTATACCGTGTTACAAGTTGGATACTACGATTTATATACAACCTTAAATTTAAAACTAAACGATGTGGTGAACTAAGCACTGAAGAACTTAACGAGGCTGAAATTATCTGGACAAAAACTGTTCAAAGTGAAGCTTTTGCGGAAGAGCTGTCCTCTTTGAGACAGGGTAAAACAATTTCTAAGACTTCCTCTATTCTAGAACTGAATCCCTTTCTTAATAATGACGGGATAATGCATGTTGGTGGAAGACTTCAGAAGTCAAGACTTTCTTACCTTCAAAGACACCCAATTATTATGCCCTCAAAACATCACTTTGTGAATTTATTAGTGTGGGATGCACACAGCAAAGTGTTTCACGGTGGAATTTCTGAAACTTTGATAGAAATACGCGAAAGATACTGGATAATTAAAGGAAGACAAACTGTTAAAAATATCTTAAGAAAATGTATTCTGTGTAAACGATTTAATTCTTCTCCTGGTGTGCAAGTTACTGCTCCTTTACCAGTAAATAGAACAGAAGAATTACCTCCTTTTTCTGTAGTAGGTATAGATTTCGGTGGACCACTTTATACCAAAGACAGTGATGAGAAAAACTACATCGTGTTGTTTACTTGTGGAGTAACGCGAGCTCTTCATTTAGAGTTTGTTGGTAGCATGACCACAGAAACATTTCTTCTTGCTTTTCGACGATTCATTGCTCGTCGAGGTCTATGTTCTCAAGTTTTGACGGACAATGCCAAAACTTTCAAACGATCAGAACTTGAACTTAAAAATTTGTGGACTGTCATTAGTCATCCAACAGTAAAAGACTTTTACGCCTCCCACAAAATCCAATGGTGCTACATCGCTGAGAAAGCTGCGTGGTGGGGTGGCTTCTATGAAAGACTAATTAAATCTGTAAAACTTGCTTTACGAAAAACTCTGAAAAAACCTACTTTATCTCGAGAACGAATTAGAAACTCTAATTATTGAAATTGAAGGTGTTCTTAACTCTCGTCCTTTAACTTATGTTTATTCTGAATTACAGGAACCTATGCCTCTAACTCCAGCTCATATGCTATTGGGCGCAGGGTGAATAGTTTGCCTCCTGCCAGGCTTCATTTTGATTCTAATTTAGTTAATAGGAAAATGCTAATTAAAAGATAATTAATTATCGAGAAAGATTGGTAAGTATGTTTTGGAATAAATGGAAAAATGAATACTTATTAATGCTGAGATCTGTTCATTGTGTTAAACCTTCAGGTAAAATTACTGAATTTAAAGTTAATGATATTGTATTAATTCATGATGAAAAGCTACCTAGACATTTTTGGAAATTAGGAAGAGTTGTAACAGTATTTCCTGGCAGAGATGGAAAAGTAAGGTCTTGTGAAATTAAAACAGGTACATCAGTTATTAAAGGACGCAGCGGTGGCTCACAGAGACGCTGAGAAATCTGAATTAATTGCGGATTCTCTTCAAACTCAATTTACACCACATAATGAAGGAATTTTTGCGAACAACGCAAGTTCTTTCCCACAAGATGTTGAACGTTTCCTCTCCTCGCCTTTCGCGAGAGAAATACACTATACACATCCATGAGCGAGGTAAGTGAATACATTACCAAGCTCAAACCCAAAAAAGCCCCTGGTATGGACTCTATTCTAATCGTATGATTAAAAATTTACCCACCAAGTTATCTATTTTTCTTAGTAATGCTTATAAATTTTATGATACAGCATTGCTATTTTCCTCAAAGCTGGAAACAAGCACTTATTGTGCCCATTCCAAAACCAGGCCAAAGCCTTTCTAACCCTCAAAATTATAGACCTATCAGCCTCCTATCCTCGTTATCAAAGATATACGAAGTTTGTGTTACTTAAACGCCTGAATGATTTTCTCCGAAATCACAACGTTCTGATTGATGAACAATTTGGATTTCGAGCAAAACACTGCACCACGCACCAGCTGCTGAGGACAGTGGAGTTCATTCACGAAGGGTTTCGTAACAAAATGCTTACTGGCGCTTTATTTCTTGACATAGCCAAAGCATTTGATAGGACTTGGCATATAGGAATTATTATCAAGCTCATACGACTTGACGTTTCGGCCCATTTAATTCATATAATTAATTCGTACCTCACTAATAGATCTTTTTCTGTACGAGTTAATTCTTTCATTTCGGCACCCCGTCCTATACTAAGCGGCGTCCCCCAAGGGTCACTTTTAGGCCCAATTTTGTTCAACATTTTCATAAATGACATACCAAAATCACCTAGTATCACTCTTGCACTTTATGCAGATGATACGGCCATCCTAGCTCACACAAAACGCCTTGAAAACTTGGTCAAAATCATTCAGAGTTATCTCTCTAGCCTTGAGCACTGGCTCATCACTTGGAAAATAAAATTAATGTTGCTAAATGTGCTGCTATGATATTCAAACGTAGCCCCCTCCCGTACCCTTCCATTAATATTAAAGTTTTTCGACGATTATGTTCCCTGGTCAAACTCTTACAAGTACCTAGGAGTTGTACTTGATTCAAAATTAACCTGGCGCCTTCACATTGAAATGTTCTCAACAAAGCAAAAGGTGCTAGAGCCCAACTTTACCCATTTTTAGCTCGAAAGAGCCATCTGTCAATTAAAAACAAAATTCCTCTCTATACATCAATTATAAGACCTGTCTTCATGTATGCATGCACAATCTGGGGTACTGCTGCAAAAACTCATGTGAAAAAACTTCAATCTTTTCAAAGTAAGACCTTACGTATGGCCCTGAATGCAGCCTGGTACATCCGTACAGATGTGATTCATTCGGACCTTAACATTAAACCTGTTGATTACTATATTAAAAAACTTAGTCAAAATTTATTCCTCAAAATTGAACAGATTGATAACCGAGCACTTCAGCGGATCCCAGCATACGATCCTGCTATTCGCAGCTCACAGAGAGAGAGAGCCGATTGGCCGAGTTTGGCATCTATCCGCCGTCCAAAAGGGCAAGACACGCCCTCTCAACATCAGTTCCAGCCCCCGCGCCATGAAGGAAGGACGTCTCTTCAGCGAGCTGCCATATAATTGCTTTTCCATCTTCAACAACTGCAATCCAAGATCTTCAAGCAAAGTTATCAATCTGTTTACTTAAGAATCACATCTCCCGCAGATTCTAAATCTGCCTAAAAATATTTTCATCGCGTTCCCATTTATTATTTGCACTCTCCTACACAAGCCACATGCCAATGAGCCTATTAATCGTAAACTCTTTCCTATCCGCTTTTTGCTTTAGTGTTTGTATTGTGTATAAAAAATTATAAAAACCAAAAAAAAGTATAAAATATAAAATACAAAAAAAATTATTAAAAACCTAAAAACTTATAAAAAAAATTATGATACTTAAGTTTTTATTTTCTCATCTCTATCCCTAAACTTTCTCGAGCCGTGGCTCCCTCTAGTGTGCATCAAGTAAATCACTTATGCCAAAATTTTTCCTATTTCTGCTCGCTTTTAGTAATTCTGATGTGGAGGTAGATGGTTTTGAACCATAGGCACTCCGAAAGGCAAATCATTGGCATTGGCAGTTATTAAGGACTGTGCACTTTTATATATTTGAAATAATGAATAATTTAAGTTTATTTATTTTATTAATCTGTATTTTGTTCAGTACTTCATATATTAATGAAAGTTTTAATGTATGTACGTATTGAGTTGCCAGCTTATTATCTTTATTATACTTTTGCAGGTACTTTAAATTGTTAAAGATGAATGCTTTGTTTTATATAGTAAATAATGTAGTTGTATAAGTGTAGTATAGTAAATAAGTATGTGTGAATTGATTGAACTTTCTTGTAAAAGTTTCTTTTGTTAATTTATTATGCAAGTGTTTTGAATGAACCCTGGTCCTTGGGGGGCATTCTGTAAACTGTATTGCACCAGATGGCCGGTGTGCGCTTGAATTCTCGGACTAGTGCAGAACCTTGATGATTGCGAAAGATGTAACAATATCGCGAAACATTAACCAAAGTTATATGTCCTCTATTGTTGTAAATGTATTAATTGTGTCGTCAAAAATATGGAGAAAATAAAAAAGTGGAGATGCTCGACAGGTAGTAGATTTCTTTTTTTGATTGATTGAGTTTTAGCGACAAAGAATGTAAATGCGTATTTACAGCATCTATTAAGTTACATTATAACTAACATTTACAAAAGGCAATAATCGAAATGCCATGACTTTGGCATATTTTTAATTTATGTACTTACTAGGAAATTAGAGAAAAAAATTCTATTTTTTTTCTTTATGCTTGTTGAAAAATAAAATATTAATAAAATGGTACAACATTCATTCTAGTACTTATAATGTAAATTTACATATACATTTACTATAAATTTTGGAGCAAAGTTCATTATAAAATCATTTGCTATATTTAATAGTTTAGCTTCAATATCAATCATGGCAATTTAAGTAAT